AGGCATTCGCCAAATCTGATGGCAAACATGCAAATTCCCACCTGTGTTCACTCACGCAGGAGATGGCAGACCAGATAAAACCTAAAGCAGCCAAACATATAGTCCTGCATCTCTCCCCACACACGGGATTCCCAGAAGTCTGTTCATGCACCAGTTCGTTAAAGAATTAAATTCCAGTTTTTTTAAATGAAATCAACCCAAGAAGCCATTAAGCTGAAGCAGCACAATTACGCCTTGCAGTGTTTTCACCTGACCTGTGCTTTGCTGTGCAGCGGGTGCGGCTCTAAAGGCTCCTGCTCCCGGAGCGGAGGGTCGGGCCCCTGGGGAGACACTCTGCTGAGAAATTGCATCAGGCGGGAGGCTTTTCCTTGGAAACAGAGTGCTGGCTGCACCCGTGGGAGCAGGGAGGAAGGAGAAAAACAAGAGCTGTTCACGCAGTCCTGGCTCTGCGCTCGGAAGGGGGGCTGGTGCTTGAGCAGTAACAGGCCCTGGCAGGGTTAATGAGGACACCCACAGCTCCTACCCATCCCCTGCACCAGCTGGAGTGCCTTACTGACCTGACCCAGCAGGGGGCGCTCTCCCAGCAGTCCTTCACTGCTGGGTACATACAGCTTTTCTTTTTGTAAGGAACTACAGGCTCGGCGCAGAAAGATGGACTCACTCTCCAGTGCAAATGAGTACCAGAAATTTCCAGAATCGTTTCAGTTTTCACGTTGAAACTATTTTATATTGATTACGGTATTTTAATTGCTTTCCACTGTTTGTGTTGTGTAGCAGCATTGTCGCATTGCAGGCTTTGGTGCTCTGAGGATCTAGGAGAGTGGCAGGGTATTGTTCTGCTGATCTAATGATGGGCTTAGTTAAGCGTCTGAGGAGAGTGGAAGAAACCTGTTGATCTGCAGTCCTTGGCGGCCACAGTGGCACGCCTTGTGTCCTTGCTGATGCGCCACTATTGGTGGGGGGAGTTAACTCCACACAGTTTGGGCTCCCCACTAACAGCACTGCAGCCGGACCGGGGTGCAGCCAGCAGAGCAGAACCCAAGGAGGGGAGAGAGAGGACAGCGCAGCTCTGCTCTCACCTTCGGCACAGGGGAATGACAGGGAAATCAGGCATCGCCTGAATAAGAAACATTCATCTCAGGGGCGTCCTTTCTATGCAAGGATTCAGATACAGTAATAGTACAGCCTCAGCTGCCAGCTACACCTCTTGCACCCTGGCTGCAGTGGCCAAGCAGCAGGGCGGTTCTTCTGCTCTTGCTGGGCCCAGGCAGCCATCACTGGCCCGGTTCACTGGCCCGGACAAGCCAGGGGGGTCCAGCGGCCCTCTCTCATTCGCAGTCATGCACAGGTCCTGTTCGTCTGGGTCTGGGTATGGGATCATTTGTGAAACCTGGCCTCCACTTGTACCTCAAAAAAATATTTAACAACCTTGCCTGTAAACAAGCATGTCCCTAACAACACACTGTAAACGCAGTTTGTCTCCTTGCTGTGTTCTAGGTGTGTCTGCTTGAAGAGCTCACTGGAGAGCAGGACACTCTCTCTTTAAGCTTCAGGGGTCACTGCAGAAAAGCAGGGCAAACTCAGGCCACAGGAAGGAAAGCAATTTCATTAAATAGCCTTTTAATTTAAATTTGAGCCTTATTTTTATTTAATAGTACATAATATCTCAAAATGCTGTACAGTAAAACTGAGGATATAAATCTTGAATTTAAACACAATAATACGATGTTTAAGAGTGGCGCATATAAGGCACTGGTGTGGAGGAGCGGTCGGGGTTCTGGGTTCATAACAGTAAAGGCTGTGGGTTCAAATCCCAGGGGGCACAGCTGTTGTCCCCTTAACAGGGAACTGCGGTCAGATTGATCGAGGAAACTGCCAGGCTCCGCGAAAGAGTCCAAGTGACAGAAGCTTTGGGGAAAAGCATCAGGCAGATTCGGAAAATTAAAGGAATGTGTTCAGAGGTTTTAGCGAGTTGGCTTTGAGGTAAGATTTGAAAATTTTTAGGACTCCTTATTTCATTAAGAAGATTATTCCACAGCATCTCTGAACAATGGAAAACCCTGCATTAGCTTATATGTGTACCACAATTTTAGATGCGAGTCTTGGACAAAAGCTTTGGTTCACTGTGTGAATTTACCCCAGTGACGTTTCCTTAAAAGATGAGAGAGAGAATGAATAAACTGATGCCGATGGACAGAAAGGCAGACCAGATGTAGGATGATGTAATGATGAAGTGTCTAAAAAACAGAGCCTGTTACAGACCGGTATCAGCTCTTACACCTGTCCGTGCTGGAAAGAGACACAACAGCTCCCCCTTGAGGACTAGCAAGTGCATGTGCGCTGCTGTCTGAAACTCTTCTGAAGAAGGCCAGGACTCGGGATCAGAAGAGCAGAAGACAGCTTCAGACTGCAGACAGGAACTACATGTTGATCCAGAGTAAGTCATTTCTAACGTCTTCATTTCCCTTGCTTAAGAAAATCCCTAAGAAGCTGTACAGATGGCCTCATGCATTTATATTAAATGATGACGGAAATGATGATTATTGTAAACTACCAGTCATTTGAGATTTTCTCTTCATTGTGCATGCAGAAGGATAATATTACTAAACGCAGCTGACTGACAAGACTAGATACACTGCATTCCAGGGAGGGCGTCAGTACACCAGTGATTAAAATGCAACCCTGCTGTGAAAACAAGATTACAAACAGGACTAACATTAAAATGTCAGGCCACTGCTGTGCTCTGACTAACAAACACCAGAGAGAAATGAATGGAATAATTCCAGCGCCGAGCTACATTGCAGCAACAACATAAGTCACAACTTGCTGAAGCAGAACACTTTTCTTTGTGATGAGGTGGCAGACATGACACCCAGTACTTTTCCATGGAATTGTGCATTTCTGTATTTCACCTGTGCACTGGCATGGCTGTGGCATGCAGACTGCAGATCATCGGGGTGACCACTAGGTGTCAGAGTAAACCAATGAAACACACCTGCCGGCTATGTTGCCATGGTTGGTCTGTTTTGAAAATTACATGTGAAGTCAGAATCCACCATATTGAGCGTGACGTTGTAACAGCCTGAGGGAGGAAGACAAACTCGCTGGCTGTCCGCTCTCAGTACACAGCACTTGTGCAGGAGGCAGTGTTCTGGTGCTGTTTTCAGCTCAACAGCTTGTTGACCATTGGAAATGCTCAAGAAGCACCAAAGAGCTGGGAAGGGTAGAACAAATTCACACCAGCAGCCCCCCCAGGGAGAACCAGACAGAGCTGCACCTCATCTTTAAGAGCGCTGCAGGCTGTAAGAGCTGTCTCGGGACTTGTTTAGCATTCTCAGCGAAATCAAGTCCGAGTCGGTCGTGACACATTTGTACATATGCTGCTGGGTTTAGGAGGTTAAAGAGCACTGCCATGTTTCACATTCTGATACAGAGCAGGAATGCCCAGTCTGCCAAACACGCTTTCTGCAAGTGTAGAACCACCTCACAAACATGTGCACCTATGAACGTGCCACCAACAGATCTTTATACCTCTGCGGCTGTGTTGTCTCTGTGCATAAGCGTGCGTTGTGAAGCAGAGCGGTGAGCAGTCTGGGTTGTGTCAAGCCTGAGCTGTGCTTCCCGGCCTCCCTCCCTCCCTCCCTCAGAGTGCAGCTGTGGCGTTCAGTCGTTCCCCTGGCCTCGTGCTTCTGGACAGAATGTCTCAGCCTTGACTCTCGGAATCTCTGGTGCAGCGACTTCGTTACTGCAGCAGTTTATTACTCTTCATGGAAACAGCCGGCAACTCATGGCATACATAACAGATTTTTAAAACAGCAAACAGCAAAGACTGCAAATTCTTGAACGGACGGAAACCTAGTAATTTGGATTGGAACACACTTCAGCGAAGAGTTGCCAGACTACCCTAGAAGCAGCACGCAAACCATTCGGATGACTAACTGTAACGTGCCGAGATCAGAGACACTCAGACTCTCACTCTCCCGTGTGATGCGATTACTGTTGTGTGGAAACACGTTCTGCGTCTTGGAATGTGAAAGGATTTCGACCGGAGACCGGTGGGTGTGCGTGCTGCTGAAGCTCTGATTTGGACTGGTTTCTTCTGCCCGCAATGCCTCCGAGACCAGTCCAGGCTCCCCTGTTCCGGCGGCGGGAGTACCTGCTGTCGCAGCCGGAACCTCTGGAAGGACTCCTGGAGGCTCTCCTGCTCCCGGCAGCTGCCCGTCTCCCCAGGGAGCGTCACAGGGAGAGAGGCAAACCTCTCCATGGCTCCGACCGGGGTGGATGTGTCTCCTCTCCCTGAACACAGAAGAGTGGCCCCCGTGAGCGACCCAGTGCGGACCCCGATTCCACGCCACGGCCCGGATGGGGGAGACGCGCCCCGCAGCTACTGTGAGCCTCGGGTTTCAGCCTGCAGGGGGCGCTAGTGTCTGCCCTGTACCCCAGGCCTGTGAGCCCTTACCTGTCTCCTGCCTGCGCTGAGCTCTTGGAATGTTCCCCTTCTCCTGCCGGCTCACCTGCCTCATGCGGGACGTCCTGCCATTTGGGGCCTGGGTGGGGCGTGGCGGTCTCCTAGCAACCGCGGGCTCAACACCAGCGAGGCCGTTCCTCCCCACTTCCTGCAGGCTGGTGATGCCCACTCCGCGGCCAGAGCTCGGCTTTTCCAAACAGAGTGGTGTCCCTTATTTCCCACTTGCAGTCAAACCAGAATCTGGCACGTAGATGTCTAACACAGAGGGAGAAGCCTTTTCAGTTTTATACATTCATTACATCAAAATAATGTGTGCATGTTGCTCATTATTGCAGTGATGTGTTGTAATTACAGTGTAGGGTGTGTTTATGTCTATAGCTCCTGAGTGGCACTCATTTCTCTGTTCTGTAATTAACTTTAGATCAGCAGTGTTGGGTAGCAGTTTTAATCTCTGTGAACAGAAAGAGGATTATTTGCCTGCACGGTCAGAGCAGTGAGCCAGCATGGTACCTGGAATACTGTGTACCTGGAATACTGTGTAGCTGGAATGGGGTGTTTTCAAGCACGGCTTCCACAAGTGTAAGTCTTCACCTCTTTGTTCACTGTGAAAACCACTACTGGCGCATCATCCAGGTGGGGCTGCACACTGGGGGTGGCGGAGGGGATCCCCATTACCTGTAAAGCGCTTTGAGTGGAGTGCAGAAAATAGCTATATAAGTGCAAGCTATTACTTCTCCACCTCCTCTGCTGTGTACTGGGGCAGTGGGTGCAAGAATGTGCCTGAAACACACAATGTGAGACCCACTCGTTCGAGCAGGGAGCTGCGTCAGCATGTGTAGGCTACAAAGGAACAAGGAAAGGTTTATTCCTGCTGGCACAGAAGAAAAGACACGCAAGGTTTCGTCTGTGGGGCCCTCCTCGGGTGTCAAAGGAGGGTGTCACACCCGAAGAAGGCTCCACGGCCGAAACGTTGTGTTTCTTTTCTTCTCCTGTCAGCAGGAATAACTCTGTGATGAGCAGCGCGGCGCAAAGGCGAGGAGTTCTTGCAAACGGAGGAAGGGGGCGGGGCCGCTCCGGCCTCACGCGCGGCTCGGCGTATCCTAGCGACCGAGCAGGAACTGCCATTTTCTGCGCGAGCCGCGGGAGCGAGCGCTCCGTGCCTGGGCGGCGCGTCCTCCGGCTCAGGTGAGGAGCCGCGGCTGCGCGGGGCCGCGCCTGCTGGCGGCCGCTCGCCCGTGCGCGCCGGCCCGCCCGCCGAGCAGCTGCAAGCGCTCCCCGCGCCGGGCTGAGCGTCTTCAGCACAGAGCCAGGAAATGAGTGTCATCTGATTGTTTTGTGCGCTTAATCCGAGGGGACCCCTCGCACGGCAGCGGTGAGCACTCGGGGTTTAGTCGGGGAAGAACAGGCGGACAGATGCTGGCGTCGCCAGCGCCTCCGTGTTTGTGATTTCCTGCAGCGGTTAGCGTGTCGCGCAGGTCCCGTCTGTGCAGACTGAGGAGGAAAGTCGAGCCGTGCGGTGTGTGATGGCGGGACTGTAACACTACAAACAAACAAGCCGCCGTGGCGTCTCGCACACGACCACGCGTGGCGCCTGTCCCGCGTGCGGCGAGCCTGACTCCTCGGCTTGTGTGTGCTTGCTCTCCAGGGCGATGTCTCTGCTGTGCGCCGCTGTCCTCGCCGGAGCCGCGCTGCTGCTCGGCGGTCCCGGTCCCGGAGCCCCGGTAAGAGCCCGGCCCGCCCGTGAAACCCGGGAGGGTGACGAGCTGTGCCGATCCCTGCCCGTGGGAATCGTCGCGCGGGACGCTGGCGCTGCTGTGTCTTTGTTGAGGCAGCGGGTTGCCGGAGTGAATTCCCGGTACAGGTCCCCGCTGTGTCTGCGGCGGTGTTCCCAGACTCCGGCTTTCGATTTCTTTCTGTTTTCTGTTTTCGCGACACCTCGGCGCTACTTTCCCCGGTCAGGTGCCGCTCCCTGCGTGTCCGCGCCCGGCAGATCGGCCCACGCAGCGCAGGCCTGCGAGGTAGCTGGAACATGTTGCTTTCTTGGACAGAAACCCCGCGGACCGGAGGGGACACGGAGAAACCACGGGGTAGCGCCTCTTTACACAGAGGCTGGTGGGAGTGTGGAACAAGTTACTTAGCCCTGAAGCTGCAGCTAGTAGCCTGGTTTCTATCAGATAAGGGATCACTTTATCGGCCATAAACAATTTCTTGCATTAGGAATCTGTCTTTTTGCAGACCCCAGCTTGCTCTCCATGAGACACACAGACAGGTAGAGAGAGCAGCTGGGGGTCAGAGCGCAGGGTCAGCCATTGTACAGCGCCCCTGGAGCAGTTGGGGTGAAGGGCCTTGCTCAGGGGCCCAGTGGAGTAGGATTTGAACCAGCAGCCTTCCAGCCACAGGGCCCCCTCTCCACCCCTGATGGCGGCTGGATGAGACTCTGGGATGAAAGTGTGCAGGAGAGCCAGCTGAACTGATGGCCTCCTGTTGGCAGCCTCTCCTACTGGTTGGTGGGTGTGACCCACATGGGAGTCAGTGGTTGCACTGATTTACCTGCAGTTACTTCGCCGTGTCAGCAGAGGGTGCTCTATGACTGTCGCACCTGGTAACTGTGCCTTGGCAGTACTGCGTTAGGGTCCGTGTGCCGCCGGGTACACCTCACAGGTGTACGGTGTTTCCTCTGTGTGAAGCTGGGTTTGGTTGTGCCTGGTCGGTGTCCTGGGAGCAGCGGTCAGGCCCAGTTTGAGGACTTGCTGTCTTGCATGATCAAACTGCTCACTGTGCTCCTCGGGGCAGCACACTGGCAGGTTTCAGATGTCCTGTGGTGACGCAGTTAATCCCTGTGGATTCCCCTGCCCCTGAGGGGAGCACCTTTATAAATAGAGCCCGCCTGGAGCTCTGGAGGTTCCCTGCTGTGCTGGTCAAGCCCATGGCCCTGCAGACAGCAGTACTGTCGCAAGCGAGTTCTTCTCTTGGGGTCCCAGACGCTGAGCAGGGCCTTGCACTTCACACTGAATAAACTCAGGTCTTTCCCTGGTCTTCGTGTCCTTATCAACGGTGTCTAATCATGGAGTGTTAGGAGTGAGAACTATGTTCTTTTTTTAAAAGTGCAGTATTATTAATAATAGCTGCAATCATTGTGGTTAATCTCTTAATATCTCCCCCGAGCAGCAGGCTAAACTCTGCCTGGGAAATGAAGTAGTTTATATTTTGGTATAAGTGTGCTGTCCAGAGGCCTGACCATAATTCTGATTGTTTTTAATGACATGTTTGACTGCAAGTCCTTTCTTGATGGCTTCAGCATGTCCTGTTTGTTGCTTGGGCTTGTGGGAGCCCGGCTTGTCTCGTGTGGTTTCAGGGGGTTGCAGTCACGAGAAGCAGGGTAACGGTTTTCTGGTGGAGCCTGTGGCTCAGAGTCGAGATTCTGGATCCCGAGCGGAGTCGGATAAGGTCAGCGGTGTTCGGTGCCGGCCCTGCGGCAGTCAGCGGTTCGAAATCGCAGTCGTTTTCCCCCACGTGACACACCTCCGGCTGCTCACCCCAGAGGGGCAGCTCTGGCCAGGCCTGCGCCACGGGAACACAGGGACACACTCGACGGGCCGCGTCTTTCAGTGACTGGAAGGCTGAGGGCTCGAATCCCAGCTGTGATGCTGCTGTCGTACCCCTGAGCGTGTCCCTCTTCCCCTGAACTGCTCCAGTGGGACACCCAGCTGTGGAAACGGGTGCGAATGGCAGTTGCCCTAGACAGGCGCGTGGGCCAGAAAATTAACTGCAATCGTGCGCCCAGGGCAGGGGTTCTGTCCCGCTCTGCGCCCTGGGGTTCTGGGACTGGCTCGGGTTGGCGTGGTGTTGACCTGGAAGTAGTGGTTTTCTGCTGATAGATGGACTCGTTCAAATAAACACACGGTAAATGTGTCTCTAAATCAAGGTTTTGCTTTCCAAAACAAAAAAAATTTGCAGCTCTTAAGTTTCCTAGTGCAGGCCTGTAGAATATTTGATCTGGGTGTTTATGTAAATCGAGTGCTCTTCTCTGCAGAGGGATGGGTTTCTTCTGCACTAAGGAGTCCTGCAGCACAGCTGGTGGGGTTGTTACCTGTTTGAAGTCATTTGTGTGGTTTTTCCCTGAGTTGCATCAGCACAGTCTGCCTTCCACTGTGGCATTTCCTGACATTCCATTCGTCTGCTGTCTTTGGAAAGTTGTTTGTTTGTTGAGCACGTTTTTGTTTTGATCCATGAGAGACTGATGTGCTTAGGAATGAGCTCCTTTGTGCTTGATCCAGAAAGCTCTTTGAGTATTGTAGCACTTTCAGGACTGGTTTCACAGACCCATGTCAGAATTTTCTGAAATTAACCTTGATTAGTCCAAGATGAGTGATGGTTGGGTTTTGTGAAACCAGTGCTTTATAGGAGTACCATTTAAAAAAAGTTGATGGGAGTAACTTATTTTCCTTTTTGTCAAAAGGTCTTATTTTTTCTGGTTTGTGTGCTGCTGTTTCAGAGTGTCCTGCCAGGGCAGAGTGACTGCTGCAGAGATGCACTGGAAATGAATGGGACGTGCTTAATTAACGTGCATTGTGATCCAGGTATGCTTCAACTTGAATAAGCTTCATTGTCTTGCACCTTACTCAAAAGAATGCATTGCAACACAATGTGAAAGCTTCATTCCATGCCAAGAGGTAAGGAAACGCGCTGTTTTGGCAGAGTTGCCTTCTTCAGGTGTGAAGGAGAAGGCAGCTCTGAAGAAGGCTTTTCTTTACAGCATGAAATTAATATTTGTCTGTTGCTCTGAAGCCCGTGCTTCACACCTGATTGTGTAGGAGCTGCCCGTCTCATTCAATGCAGTGGTAAGATAACAGCATATGCCAGTAGTAGCAGACCAGGCCTCACCCCGACTGCACTGTGAAGGTGGGGTGATTTTGGTGACCTTGCAAGAGGTGTGAGTTCGGGTGTGTTTGCCTCAGGTGCAATGCTTAAGGCAACAGCAGACCTGGATAGTGTGTCAGTTCAAACAGTCTCAAGGGTTAAAAGGCACTGGCTGGCAGATTAAAACCCACATCAGGAAGTTTCTAAATGGCTGTGGCAGCTGGTCTTGACTGAGTGGTCCTATATCTCTGTAGACATTTAGTGGAATCGCTGCTGGAGTGTGTTAGCACTGTATCTGCTGCTAGTGGTGGACTAATGCTCTAGTGGAGCTCTGTATAATATTACTGTGCTATCATGTGCATGCAGATCATTGTGTTCACGAGTAGCACTCTGGAGCCCCTGACAGCAATGACCTGACTGTGTTCTCCCCAGGTTGCTGTCTGCTTACCATGGAGAACTCCACATATGTGTGTGTCCCGTGGACGATGGTGAACAGGACACAGTATAATCTCATGGAGTGCAGTAGTGGTGAGTGCTACATGTTTCTCTGCTCTCCAGCCTGGTCCAGTCTCGCGGTGCTCAGTGTGTGACATGGAGTGCAGATCCAGTGTATCTGGAAGGACTCTTCTTCGTGTCTCGCGGAGGCTGAGACTTCCCTCAGTTTCCAGCAGGCTTGTGTGAAGGAAAGCTGTGAGTCCCCCTTGTTTATTCTGCAGAGTCTGTTCCTCTCGCGTGTACATGCAAGATGGGTGGCACAGTGTTTAGCATTGCCGCCTCTCAGCTCTGGGCCCTCGAAGTTGTCTGTGTGGAGTTTGCATGTTCTACCTGTGTTCACTTCTTCTTACAGTCCAAAAACATGCTGGTGGGTTATAGGGATTCTAGGAAAACTAGCTCTGGGGTGAGTGTGTGCATGTTTGTGTCTGTGCCCTGCAATGGACTGGTGTCCCGTCCAGGGTGTACCCTGCCTCATGGCCAAGGCTTGCTGGGATCGGCTCTGACTCTCCTGTGATCCTGAATGCAAGAAGTGGTTAGAAAATGGATGGATGGATGTTTGATTTCCTGTGCTGGGATTGTGCTGATAAGCTGTGGGTGCTCCAGGTGATCACTGCAGTGGGTTATAGCACTTTCAGATGGAGCCTTATTTCAATAAAGATGTCCTTTTCTTTTCCCTCAGATGATCCCAATGCCACTGTGTGGTTGACAAATACAAGCACCGTAGCTCCTGTACGGCCCAAAATTGGTAAGGACACCCCCTTAAAAGTCTGCTGTTCATCTGCACAGGTAATGTCCTTTAAATATTAATCAAGGAGTGTTGCGGCATTCCTGTTGTATTGTGAGAGCACAAGATAGGGGATATGTATTCGGAATAAGTGTTTTGTAGCTGTCTGCACTTTCAGTGCAGTCTCATTGTATAGAATCTGTGCTCATTTGGCACTGGCTGCTGTCTATTTCAAATTCCAAGGGGTGGTTATGAGTGGAAGGAAGGTGGTTATGAGTGGAACCAGTCCACTGGTTACTTGCTGGGCACCATTAAAAGGCCTGTTGAGAGGGGAAAAAACAGCTAAGTACAGGAGCACAAGGAGCTGGGAAGTGATCGAGTGGCTCCCTTCCTGATGGGGCTGTGTTCCTGAGAGAGAGGCCATGCTCTGAACACTTCAATTTTAGCAATCCCAAAGCCATTCTTGAAAATCCATGTCATGAAGAAATAGGAGTGTTCAGGGCTCTGCAGACACACAGCTGGACAGAGCAAAGATTCTCCTTGCAGTTGTCCTGACTCTGTATAGGGCCATGCACATGAAACGACCAGAAACCCCAAATCCACAGGCTGTGTGTTCTGTAGGGCTCATCAGACCAGATCTCTTAAGAATAAAACGTCCCCTGCTTTTGGGGGAGCTTCTGACAATCTGGGAATAATCCGTGTTTTGGGGCTGCAGCGGTGATCTGTGTTCGGAGGTGACTGTGCTCTTGTGGTTCTGTCACAGGCGGTCCAGGAGTTGCTGCCTCCCTCCTGCTGGGAACACTCTTCATCAGCCTCTTCCTCATCCTCACTGTGGCTGCCTCCTTCTACCTCAAACGGACCAACAAGCTGCCCAGCATCTTCTACAGGAGAAACAAAGGTACCTGGGTCCTGGCTGCTCTCGTGCTCTCCAGCAGATGGCAGCCCTTTCTGCTCCAGGGGCTGTTTGCTCAGGTTGTTGAAGCTCTGATTTCAGCCAGGTCTCTTTCTCCAAACACTGTGAGCATTGACTGTGCCAGCTAGTCTTGCACTCATTCCTTTCTGCAGTCAAGTGATCAAGTTAGCTGGACTGACCCAGTTGTCTGAGATTGAATGTTTTTATCTTTGTTTTCCAGCATCAATATTGCAGCCCAGTGAAACGGTAAGTTACTCTGTATTAATCAGTCAGGTTTGGGGTCTTGTGCATGCTTGTGACTCCTGTTGCGTAGACCTTTACACAATTATACTAGCTTCACCTCAAAGTGCATAAATAAACAGATCACAGTAGTATGAAAACTCCATAGATTTTTGAAAACAGAGAAATGTGTCAAATGTCTGTCTGTTTTGTAAAAAAGAGCTGTGATGCTGATCTGAGTTGTTCTTCTCTGCAGGCTGACATGATTCCTACGCCGACATCGTCAGGTAAGATGCTAGATTACATTTGGGCCTCAGTGGCCTTGTGCTCTGATTGTAACTGTAAAGCTTGGTAATGTAAGAGGATGAGACCTCCGGCCTTGTATCTGT